TTCTTTCTTTCTTTCTTTCTTTCTTTCTTTCTTTCTTTCTTTCTTTCTTTATGTACTCCAATAACAATATAGATATTGCTGTGATATATACAGATAGGCAGCTCACTAGGTTCCTGAGCATAGACTGTTTCCAACAGAAGCAGCAACAGTAAATGGAACATGTCTGTAGAGACACAAAAAGAGCAATGAAGTCAGTCTCCTCATATGGCCATTGGTATCAGGCATATTCAATAAAGCAACCAATCACATATTATCAGTCGTTGATCTTCCCCCAGTAAACGTAAATCTGACTAGGTCTTATACCAGTATATCAGTGTAGCGATTGCTTTCTCTTCATATTTCAGAAGGACCCACATCTGTACATCATATATAACCAATGAGCAATGTTAATTACTATATACAGTATTTGCAAATAGGTCAGTCCAAATGGAGCTTCAATTTCTTATAATATAAAGCATTCAGTCTGCATAAACACTAATAAATGTGGACAACTACTTTTTTTTACTGTACTATTGTACTGCAGCTTGCCCTGTGCTGGCAGCACATTGGAGATTCAGAACACTGCTCAATACAGAATGCAGCGGTCTGGGTCTCCAGCTGTCCAACTCACAATCTCCATTGTGCTCTAATCCACAGCACTGCTTAGCTAGTGTGAGCGTTGTTGATTGGATCAATGTGCAGGGAGAATATCAGAATGCTGAAAAGCTGGACTGCTTCACTATGGAGTCTATTTATTAGGGGTTTTCACAGCCAGTCATTCTGTGTGAATAGAGGCAAACATGAACGTTCTTGCATTGTAATGTAATGTAATACTGCTTTATGGCCACTAGATGGAGGTGAAGAGTGAAGAGTATAAGTATTTATTTAATATGCTCCACTGCTCCATCTAGTGGCTATATTGTGGTACTTCCCTAACATTACAGTCGACTTGAGAAGAAAATATACTAAGAACATTTGTTTTTGCCTCTATTCACAGACAATGAACATTCATAGAGATTCAAAGGGTGAATAGCTCTGCAAATTGTTTATAAATAGACACCTATATGTTGAGTACAATATTACAATAAATAAGAAAGGTAGTACTGTTCATGCAACCTGACTACATTACAGAATTAAAAAAATAAAGCTTCCATTGGACCATTAAGAAATCAAAAACCTTTAGAGATTTGTGCACCAGGTCATGCAACATCTGGCTGCCCATTGATCTTCCAGAGGATAGACCAAGGTGAACATATACACCTATGTATTAGAGAGGGAGGCACATTATTGACATCCTCAAACTCTAAACTCTATGATAAAAGTAATAGAAACCAGGTGATAGACTATCCCGCACAGAAAGGTCAGGCCCAGTGGTGCCTAAACATACTAAGCTCCTGGATCCAGCTGTAAACTGCCAGAATGGCCAACATTTTCTGACCTCTATTGACTTCTTAAAGATACCCATTCAAGGCTAGGTGACATTATATGTATAAAGCCAACCCCCAGATCACTTTACACGTATCTCTCCAGTACTTCTCCAACACTCCTTCTTAAATTGCATTTGCCACCAAAATACCATCACTTAGATGGAGTGGTGTTGTCACCCCATCTTTATTTGATAGTGCTCAGACCTACAGATTGGCCACTTAGGCTCAAGCACTGCATCATTTGAGGAGGTCACATGCTCCCCCATACACAGTAGCATTGTGTATTTTGTTGTGGTGGCCCAAGGAAGGAATGGCAATGGAACGCTGAAGGTGATTATAAAGTGGACAGGGGATGGACTTCACACAGACAGGGTCGCTTTGTGTTGAAAAAATATCCCTTCACCATCCCCATGCTAGTGTATGGCCATGACCATCAGGTGACTAAACTTATGCGCCGTGATACCAACTGCAGCCACCTTGAACTTCTGGATATGGGGAAACACAACAGGCTCCCTTTCCTCTCACAATGAAGTTTGTTTATATATGAGTGAACCAAACTAACTTGCGCTAACGGAAATAGTAAAACTAAATTAAGAGACACGACTTGCAAAGTGGAGGAACTGACCATTATGGAGTATTTGGTGCTTACATAAAATATTTGTAGATTCTGCATGGGAAATAAAAGCCAGTAATAAAAGGATAACAAAATGATTCGCTCAATTGGATACATATTTGATTCACCAGGTGTGACAGTAAACAGGACAAAAGTGGTCCAAGGACCACAGATATGTTCATTATTGAAAGCAGCAGAATGTACCTGCAGACCCCCAAATAGGAAATGTATAAAGAATCTGTTCATTTGAATATTACATTAAAACAAATTAGAACTGAACTACTTTGTCAAGCTCACACAACCTAAATTATATCTACAGTCAAAATGTTTGGTAATAGTCTAGGATAGACCCTAAAAACTCTGTCAGTTTATTTATTACTGTCTGTGTTCCATTTGGGAGATTTCCCTCATTTCCTTTACCAGAGGAAAAAGTGAAGGGAATTACCCTCTTGCACGGCAAAAACAACCTCAAATCATGAGCTGGGCCATCTCTATAATGGGCATCCTGAGGCGGTCGCCTCAGATGGCATCCCAGTGGGGGGAGGCAAGTGTGTGTGTTGGTGGCAGAGGGGTAGCAACAGTGTCCCAGGTTGCCCCAGAGCTTTTAGCAACCTGTGATGCTCTGTCTGGCTTCCCACCCAGCTCACTGACATCATTAGTTGCCAGGGTGCTGAGCGGGATGCTCTGGATGGTGTCCTGTCAAGCTCCTGGCAACCAGTAACATCAGAAAGCTGGGTGTGATGGCCTTTCATACTGCACACGCCAGCATACACCAGCAGCAGCAACACCCACCCTACCCGCCCCGGAACGACAAACAATAGCAGCATAGCCTCCCAACGACCAATAGCAGCAAATTACACTGCCCCCCTCCCAGCCTCCCCCCCCTTCCGTATCAATGGCCTCAGGTGGCAAAGAAAGTAATGGGAAATCCAAAACTTTGACTCACCAGACCATGGAAGAGGTAAAATCTTCCAACATGGTCACCAATTTTGGTGATCACTAAGAGGATTTCCCTTTACGTTAGACCGCGTACTGCTTGATCCGTATTGTTTTTTGCAGGATAAGTAAAGAAAAATGTATCTGATGGCACACAGGTACCATAACAGACAGGGGTTCTAACAAAAGTTTTGGATAGTGATACATTTTAATTGTATGAATAAGGTAACCCATCACATTACATAGTTTTGGTAACTTTTTACATTTGGTCAACCTAAGATAGTCAAACTCCAGTGGTAGTGCCATGTGAAGCTTGTGACGGACTGAACCGTCACTGGGGCTGCTGGAGGAGCCTGAGGGCTAGCCTCCTACGGACTATGGACCAGAACTATGGAGACCCCCCTCAGACCTCTTGGGGTTACATTGAACAATTCTACTAGGATACATGTGGAGTGGATATACTGTATGTCTCCCCCGACATTACAGACACACATCACTGTGTTCATTATAGGCAGCAGGCTGGCTGGAGTGACCATTGTTTGCAATGATGGGATTAAGTTCTTATCTAATTAAGGACATTCATCCCAAAGAGTGTCTGGGCATGAAAGACTTCTAATGCGGCACCTAGCTGTCTGGGGGAGGGGACACACTGCACTCTAATCTGATCCTGTCAGGTATAAATTCTGTGTGCTTCCTTTAATAAAGCAGATCTTGGTTTCCACCTCAACATTGGTGTTGTCTAATGATTGAGTGGTTAGGTGTTCTGTCCTAAGATATTGGTTCTGTCCAATAATTAAGCAGGTTTGGGCTGAGGACACTGGGATTCGGGTTCCAGCGGAGAGGAAGCTGTTTTCTGACGGAGGTACCCAGTCGGGGTACCAGGCAGTCCGTCACAAAGCTGTCATTAAAGGAGGTCATAAAGAGGACCTTTACTGGCAAGCAAAGAAAAAAAATGCAAGAGTAAGAAGCTTGGATGATGTCAATGTCAAAGTAAATGAAGAAAAAGGCAGGAAATAGATCAGAATGGAGGAAGTCATCATTTTAACTTTAGAGTCTGGAAGTTATTGTGTGATCAGGCTTCTGTGAGCTCTTCGTGAGACCTCATAGCCCCCTTTTATGCTTTGGTTGTATTAGTTGTGGTTTGCCTAGGAACTATGCCATTGGCACCAGGCTCAAAATAAAGCAATCTGTTATGTAAAGATCAAGACTCACAATCTCAAAACACAGACCTTACCAGTTATTACCCAAGTCCAAGTTGCCCCGATTAGTTTCTCATTTTACTCAGACTTCAATCAAACGTATATATTTCTACTTAGCTTAAAGCCCAACTCCAGGCACGATAACCTTACCCCAGCTAAAGCAGTCAAACATGCAACTGGCAAAAAAGTATTCTACCACCATGCAGACTTTCTTCTATACTCAGCAAATCTTCTCCACCTGCAAAATACATTTTGTTATCCAAACTATGTCACAGTCTAACCAGCAAATACATCTAAGTTGTATGTGGAGTGATCCTAGTGGAATCATTATGACACTAAACTCAGGAGTTAAATCTTAAAAATGCATTCAAGTACTTTAACTATTAACAAAACTGCAGCTTATTTGTGTATCACTCAGTTGTAGATCCTCAAGGTTAGGGAACCAAGAAACCAGACAGAAATTTAAAGTGTAGGTTAAAAAAAAATAAAAGGCGTTTATTGAAAACTACAATAAACAGGAAAGGCAAAAAACAATGGAAACAGTCCAGGATGTCGTCAGTGCCAAGCAAGAGGTCAGAAGTCAAAGCAGGTAGTCAGCCAAACCAGGTCAGGGAACACTGAGAGCAGGATAAATGGAAGCAATAGCCGGAGTCGGGAACCAGGAGATCAAGCAGCCAGAGTCGGGTTCATACACGAAGAACAGGAACAATTGCAGAGCACTTGGTAGATCAGAACAACGCAAGGGCATAGGCTGAAAGGACAAGCTGATGTTAAATAGTAAGCTGGTGTTTGCATCATCTCTCTGAGACAGGACTTTGTCAAAAGTTTTGTTTGTAGTTGCAGAATGCTGATGTTAACTGGTTTGAGCATAAAGAGGGCGCCAAAGAGGAACGACGGTGTCAGATACCAGAGCTTGTTATACCTAACAAAAAGTGGTATATGTGGAGTTTGGGTGAGCAGGATTAAAGTGTTCTGTAGATGTGTAGAAGTGTTGTGTACATGTGCATATATGAGAACACCTCACTACAGAGAGTTGCAATGGAGTTGGGTCTTTGTAGCTAGAACTGGATAAGACTGAAGTTAGTGATAAGCTAATTGTGGGTGTGTGTTACAAACCCCCGAACATGAGGGACGAAGAGGAGGCTCACCTACATTCCCAAATAGAAATAGTTGAGAAGCAGGGAAACGTTGTTGTAATGGATTATATCAATTATCCGGACATTGATTGGCTAAATGGAACCACTCATTCTATAAAGGCTGGACATTTCCTAAACCTGCTGCGGGACAATTTCATGGATCAGATGATAGGTGTCCCAACCAGGAAGAATGCAATTCTAGATCTACTGATTTCAAATAATGCAGACTTAGTTGCAGAAATAGCAAACTTCGATAAGCTGCATCATTTAGTGTATGACACTAAATGGGACAAATGATTTCTAACAATGAACACTGATGAGAAGTGGGGTTGTTTTAGGAATACATTGCGAAATGCCATTAGCAAGTGCATACCATTGGGCAACAAAAATAAAAGAACGAGAGCTAAACCTGCATGGCTGAATAAAAGGGTAAAACATCATATCAACGAGAGGAAGCTGGCATTTAAAACATATAAAATGAAGGGGACAACATTGGCATCCCAGAGCTACAAGGAATGCAATAAGAGTTGTAAACAAATAACTCTTGGTGGCAGGATGGCAGCAGGAAGCAAAGTCTGCCCCATGTGATCCAAAGGGGATTATAGGAAGACAGTCTCTGTTGTCTGTCATATCCCTCCCATAATAAGGAAGTTATACCATTATTAGAATATAATTTAGTAAAGAGGTGTAGTACTTCTGTAATAGGCTATTTGTGACACTGGGGGCATACATACACACCAACACATTTCTCTTGGATCCTGATGCTGCATATCTGGGTCTCACTAATCCATACATATAAACCCACTTCTGCATACATGAAACCCGTGGGGGACCATAATGAACAACGTATCAATCAGAAGTGAGTTGAAGTTATGAAAGGGCAATTCGAAACACCTACCTGATTAATTGCATACAAGCTCTTGGTCTTAACAGCTAAACTCCAGGTTTAGCCAAAACATATTTTCAGGATGCTTTACCAGTAGTGATGGGTCAAACACCCCCATGTTCGGTTCGTATTCGAACACCCAAGTTGGCAAATAGTTGCGCTAGGAGAAATAATGTGTCAATGATTACCAGCTGCAACAATGTGTGATAAAAACTCCCTTTTGAGAAAGTCCAGAAATGACGAAACGCGTCAAGGGCAATACCGGGACTTGCTCCTATAGACCATAAGGCTCGTATGGCTGAGTGCTCCTACCACTCAATGTTTTTATATTCTCTGTTCTTGTAAGTGCGGAAATTTTGGTTTAAAATAAATGCTTTAAAATCGCTGCACTTAGGAGTTTTTTTCTTTTTCTTTTTCCCCTTTCCTGTTATTGAAAACCCCGGTGGACGGATACTGCTGCGGTGTAAGAAGGGTCAACCGGAGGTGAACGAGAGATTGGCGTCCAACCCGGCTTTTCAGACATTGAGTGTGGAAATGGACGTTATACCAAAACTACAAACGGTTGTTGAAGAGACTCCTCTGAAACCTATCCATTTTTTAATCACGTAATCCTAGTTGGAATCCAGGAGGACAAATAAGTAATAACATCCCCCACATATTACTATCTAACAGTTGGGGTGAAGCAGAGGACTGTTTGACTGATTTATGTTGCCATAAGGATTGACCCTATGTGAGGACTTAATTGCGTTGACTTAATATTGACCCATTTTGTTTAATTTAAGCTGTCAGTTGTGACTACACCCCAGATCTGGGGTTGCTTAGGGGTGCCGACTCCGCTTGCATTTCTCGGCATTTAGATGATTGCTTCTAGTATCTTGGAAATGTGCAAGGACAGACCCCCCTCATTGTCCCATCCATAATCAAACTAATATTTCTTTCATATGATTGCTTGTTTACGTAATTTAATATATGAACTGATTACACACAACAAATCATTTGCAGATAATGACATAAAGTCACATTCAATGGTACAAACACTGTTACACTAATGCTAGGAAGGGTTTGAATATTTAATACACCCACTTAAGGTTTTTTGCGGGACATTATATCAGTGGACGAACAAATCTAAGTGTTTCTGTTGCCCACCGACCCACGTTACACCGTTTATTTTACACACAAACAAAATTAATTTCACTCACAGAACAATCACTTTTTATTCATTTATAATTGCGGTGTAGTGGATGAACAAGCCTTTAGTCATTCACCGACACATAATACACTGTTGCGGTTGCACACAAAGGTTGTCATATTGAATACTAATCACCAATTCTAATTAAGTATCACACAGGTTTATTCAATAATTCACTCACATATATATGTTAATGTGTGCTTTAGAAGATTAGCAATACCAAGCGCAACATGTCAGTATTATTGTATTAGAACACCCGAACGGCCGAAAAGTTAGAACACGAACTCGAACCTAATGCAATTCAATGGGGGTCGAACTTTTGAAAATGATTGTCCCCTTTTAGAGAGCTTATATGCAAGTTATTGGCCATAAAAGGTGTATGGGCGTCCGGGTACTGCCCTGGGGGACAGAAATCAATGAAAAAAACAAACAAAAAGACAACGATTTTAAAGGAGTAGTGATTTTAACATCACTTAAAGCAGGGGTGGCAAACTCAAATTCATCGGGGGCCGCATCAGCAGTATGGTTACCCTCAAAGGGCCGGTTGTACGCTCACCCGCACCGATGTACAGGACGGGTGAGCGCAGGGCGGCGTACGGCCGCGTAGTCCCATAGAGAAGAATGGGGGCTGTGTACTAATCACATGCAGCACCTGTCCTTCCCAGGAGCTGCCCGATACGGCCGTGCAGACAGCACGGAGCTGTACGTGCTGGCCGATTCCAGTGTGAATGAGCCCTTAAAAATGTTCCTGGATTTTAAAAAACTGGTCACCTTACCCTGGTGGTCAGTGGGCGCTCTGGTTGGTAGTGAGGGCTCTCCTGTGGCCGCACCAGCCAGTTTGCCCGCAGTAGATCCCGTCACTGAACCCCCTGCGCTAAATGAAGCCCCCAGCCGCAGGTGCAGGTATGTTAAAGGGCTGCACGCTGGGGCCTCACGAGTACCCCTTGAGGAGTGAGCGGCCGCACGATTAGAGAGCCGCATCTGTAGCGGTGCATGTGGCAGAGAGGCGGCGGAGGGAGGGAACCATTGCACCTGCGGCCGGGGGCTTCATTTAGTGGTGGGCAGGGGGGGTGACGCCCGCGGGCCCTCGGCTGGTGGTATTCAGCATTGCTGTATAATCATTATACAGCAATGCTGAATACCACCCAGCTACAGTCCCCCAATCCCCCCAAGCCAGCCATCACCCACAGACTCCCCAACCTTACCTACATCCAGGCTGCAACACCTCTCCACCAGGCTAACAGTGATCACTGTCAATGACAGGCAGCCAGCCGCCTGTTGTATTCGGATCCCCGCACAGCACACACGCCGGAACATACAGCTGTCCCTCCGTGTGTGTCACAGACTTTACTGCAGTTCATTGTACAAAGTTTTTACAATGAACCGCAGTAAAGTCTGTGACATGGAGCTGGAGGGACAGCTGTCAGTACACACTGCGGGACGGGTGGCTGCGGCAGAACGTGGATGGAGAGTCGGGAGTCGCGACACTAATCTTGGGGGGGGGGGCAATTGCCCCGTTGCCCCCCTGGATCCGCCACTGAGGAGGAGAACCTTGGCTGAGTGGGTGTTCGGCAGTGGGAACCCGTCCACACAAGCGGGTGGCTGGAGACGGAAAGAGAGAGGGGAGAGCCGAAGGTCCGTTCCTGTCACTGCTGTGTCTGCAGGAGGTAGACTGAGTCGGACTCGGCGGCTTCCGGTCAGCTACTACGGGCGCTTCACATACCTTCTTGTCAGTTGTTGACGTCACTGCACCTGCGCGGCTCCTCGTCTCGTCCTCAGTGCACTTGCGTGGCAGAAGATATCGTCTCTGAAGCTCTTTTCTGCGCCTGCGTGCCCATCAGTGAGCTTTGAAGTGGTACGGCGGACCTGGGCTCGCGTGCCAGCAGAAACGGCCCCGCGACCCAAAAGGCATGTTTTTGACAATTCTTTTATTAAAAAAAAACAACGCAAGAAATGGATCCACCGATGTAATCCAGGGTCAATCACGACGTCCAGCGTTGTCCACGACGACGACAAAATAAAAAATAAATCAATAAAAAATAAATAGAAATAATAATTTTTTTTAAAAACGCCGTCCCCTGTCAGGTCCGCTACCCGCTGACTCCCGCCGCATAATGGCATTTTGACAGATGCCGGCAAAACATAAACAATTGGGCGGAGCTAGCGGTGATAGCTAGCTCCATGCAATTGTGTAATTTGCCGCCATCTGATAGGCAAGACATGATTGGGCAGATTCATCATGACTATGCCCAATCATGGCTCCAAATGAGTACTGAGCACTGATTGGGCAAAGTCTTGCACCTAAACAGTTGGGTGGAGCTGGTTGTCAATGCTAGCCCCACCCAATTTTTTAAATTATTATTATTATTTCTATTTTTTTTATTTATTTTTTATTTCATTGAGTCGTTGTGGACAACGCTGGACGTCGTGATTGATGCTGGATTACGTCGGTGGAATACACAAAGGTGAGTGGGAATGCCGAAGCCCTCATGCACACTACGTAACAAAACGTTGAGTTCAGGTGCGTTTGGAGCTCATTTCTAGACATGTGCTCCAGCAAAAAATTCGTTTAGTTTAGTTTCGTTTTGAAAAAAAAAAAAATTGTTTCGTTTAGTCTCGTTTTTCGGGTCCGAAATTAAATTAGTT